CATTTTGCTTTGTAATTTCACTACCCAAAGAACTCCAACTACTCAAAAAAAACATAACATCGCATAAAGTAATTCACAAAAGTTCGTGCAAGAATGGTACAAAACGCCTGCAGTCTAAAAGGGAGCCAACATATAGGGCACCGCCATTACTTAGTTCCCTCACGATCCGGTGCTTCGCCAACAAAAAAACTTTATACTTTGATTCTTTTCCCGTCTTTATCATTTTTCTAAGTTAATCCGGTCAGTTTGGTCGTTAAAGAAATTCAACGCGCCCATCAACTTTCACGTGTTCGGACTTGACTGTTCCAATAACAACGAATGTGCGGCTCGACTCTTCGTATCTATATCTATATTTAATCGGGGATATTTTAGTCTTTTTTCGTTTGTTCTTCCCTTACACGCTCCAGATTTCAACCGTAGACCCTTGCCACTTGACTGTCACCATTGACCCATTCCACTTGACCGCTGCCGTACACATAAAGACAACGCGCATTGTAATTATTCTTATCTATATCCCCGTCGCTGTGTACATACTGAAACCGTCCGACTCAATTCTTCGTGCTTGCATTTTTTATTTATTCTGAATTATTTTGGTCTTTTCCGTTTGTGTTTCCATTACACAAATGTTGTGCGTGTATAAAATCCATTAACGCACAAAGTGACAAAGGCAATTGATTCGATCTGAAACGGTCAAGTATTTCATTACTTCACAGAATCAGCATGGAATTCCAAAAAACCCTAAACGAAGGCCAACGTTTCCTCGATTCCAGTCGATGGACGGCTAAGGACCTGATCACTACTTCTTTTTTCCATGTTGGACGATATAGACAAATTGGCTGACACCGACGTCATCATTGCGAATAGCAAGACTTACAATAGGCTTGCTATTCGCCACTACCAGAAGGGTCAGCGGTTTGCGCTAGTCACGCCGCATCGTCTGTGGGAGCAAGCTCAGTGCGGTCGCTACCGGAAATGGTAAGGCAACCACCACCAGCTGCAGGGCCGCACCATGAGCCTAAAGATATTGTCGGCGAATATAGTCGAGGCGGAGTTAACTCGCAGACGCCAGAGATGCTACCGAGTGACAGAAACCCTGGCAAGGATGCTCCCGATACCCGTGGAACTGCAGTGCTACCTGGTCCACAGGCGCGGCTACATCAACATGGAGTGCAGTGTCCGACAGGCCTTGTCCCCCATGTCTACTCTGACCTTGAAGGAGCTGGCGGGAAGGGCCGTCCTGAAGGAGCTCCTGTCAGCCGTCAAGAAGCCGACGGAGCGGACGACGAAGGACTGGATGTCATTCCCCTTCTACGTCTTCTCCTTGGAGATCCCCGTTTGTTTGAAGACTTTCATTCTGTCATTGGAATGAGAGCTTCAAATTTTCTGGGCCTCTCCACAAGACCCCAATCCGGGGTCACAAATGTTCACAAAAGAAATAAATCCTTAGTCTGTCTCTGCGTCAGTCTACGTGTCTGTGTTGGAGTTTCATTTTAGAGTACGCGGCGCGACGCACGGCCAATTCGGGTGAGTACGCTCGATTTTCTTGTTTTCATTTTTTAACCAGCCCCTCCACCTCCTCGACCGTTGTCGCGGTTACGCCCACCATCTCCGTCGACCTCTCGCCCGCTCACCGTTTGATACGCACCTTTGACCTACTAACCGCACCGACCTTTCTGAACCTAAAAATAACTATCACGTGACTTACTCACACGCGACCGGAAGTGGGTCAACCTGATCTATACTGCACCCGAAGTCGGTCAAGGGTCAGAGGTCAAACTGATCTATACTAACTACCATTACTACTACCAGTTTAATACAGAACGAGCCAGTATTTCAAAAACCCAAAGTCATTCGAGAACAAAGAACCTGACTTGAAGGAGTTCGACCCCGTTACGTGCAGTGAGTGGGATTACGGTCACGCTGATAATAATTAGGCCGATCGCGCGCGCATGCATGTGCTGATATTCTGGAATGATCTGCAACTCAGCGTTAAAAGGTCTTTTTGACTGGCGTTGGGAACAAATGTGAGAAAGGGCACTACTCGGTATACATTGTACATGCTGCGAGCCATACGCTCTATGGGCTTTAAAATCGCAAAGCGGCGGAGGGGGGGATATCTTTTTTGGGGGCGGTGCTGTCCCATTTGGACGGCGTCGGACATTACAAAGAGTGCTCTTCAGTAGTTAGTCTCCATATAGTATACCAGCTGCAAAGGTTCTATTGGCGCCGCTCTCCACATGGCTGCACAGTTTCTGACGTTTTGTTCGACATTAGCAAGGGGCACTGAGTAAAAAAGATCTGGTAAAAGAGGACATTAACTGGGGAAAAGGCACTTTTTAAACAAAATAAGGGGCTAGCTTTGGTACGGCTTAGGACTCCGAATCTAGAGAACTACGGTGTAAGTAACAAAACGTAGATTCCCCCAGTCGTTTTGTTAATTTCGAAATCAACCTGTAGATACCCCAGCAATCCAAAGCACAATCAGCCTGTTACTGTGCCCGTCAAACATTTTTTTGCAATATCCCCTTCACAAGTCAATACAGAATAATGTCTATCAAGTGTGCAGCAAGACGATTTTAAGAATTACAAAACCATGGATGGTAGCTCATCGTGTAAGCACGTGCAGCGTGCGCATAAGCCCCGACCGTTTCCAAGAGAGGGCGCAACAGAAAGGCTCCTATGCAACCTGGACTCCATGGGCTGCATGCGTACTTGTTCCTTCAAGGCTAGAATCAACATGCGATACGACGTTGGCTTCTTTTGTAGGAACTGCAACTTGCTGGTGCATTATCTCTGGATTCAAACACAATCAGCATTTGCAAACATACTTAGACATGAGTGGGGCAAAAATAGCAGATTTTTTGATTGGAAATATATGTTCAAAGGCCAATTGCTTTATTGTGAAAGGGGGATCCATAAATACATTTTAGAAGACCAATTTGTTTACTCCCTATGGTAGCAAATCGAATTTGCGATTTTTTTTAAGATAAATATGGCCTTCTGTGGTGTTTCTGAGGTGTTGACTGCGATGGGAGGTTTTACATACTTAGCAAAGAAGGGAAAGTGAAATGGACTTTAACTTTTGATGTTCAGTATTTTTCACACCCTCCCCATCCCCCACCCCCTTGTGGAGGGGTATGTCCCCCAGATCCCACACCTCAAGGATCTGCCCTTGATATGTGTATTGACGGCTTTGATCAAACCAAAGTTTGTCAACTTAACTGAAAGCTTTTAGGAATGAAACACACATTCCTTCCGGCTCGAAAATTACTTGCAATTCAATCCCATCCTGATCTGTGCAGCTTTCATTTAACGTCCATGCGTTCATGCATGTTGGCTTGCGTTCATTAGACAAAATCATGTCAGTTGGCACCGTCTTTCTCGGGCCAGTGTTTTGCAAGAACGACGTGTCAGAACGGTTTTAAACTGTTTCTAAATGAGCGGAAGACATAAGCAGAAAAACAATTAAGACTCGGCACGAAAACAGACAAGACACTGCGATGATGTAGGAGAAAAGGTCGGGGAAAATGACTTGTGATTTGCGGAGCGAAGCGGGGTTCACGCGCACGAACCACTGCGCGTGATTTAACAACACAATCCCACGCGTCATCAACGGAGAGGCATCACAAACGGTCGATTCGTGGTCACTGTGCGTGTACACGTTCAGTGCATTATGTATAGTAGGTGTAGCGTATGGACGTTCTAACTTACGCCTCCAACGGACTCAGCGTGTCAGCAGATAGAATTACTGCGTGTACTGTGTACACGCAAAGTACATGCACACCCACGTGCATAGTGAATGGAAAATTTATCAGCAGAGAAAAAGGCAATAAACCCTCTCGAAAGTAAATACACAAGCGGAACAATGAAATGACTTCTTTGAAAGAACTTCTCTCAAGTGTTTATAATCCCGGGCGAAGGTTTTGCAAATCATCCTGTAAGTTTACAACAATTTTTGATCCAACCCATTCAAAGTAAACGGCCTAAGTACATACAAGAGCGACCATGTTCCATGTACGTCGAATTCTACGAATGGTTTAAATTGGCACCATTGGAAAACGTTACGGGGAAGTGCTTTTCATTACTATTCACTCTGGTACCCTTCGTTGCCCTTTTTCCCCTCAGTGAATCTGTCAACTTTTAAGCGAAATAAATATTTTATGAAAGAATTCTCAAAAGGAGCGGGGTTCACAAACAACCAGCTATGAGCTGTAGCATAACTTTTTCAGCATGTCTCTGTTATAGCATTCAGTGCCTGGGCCACGAAGACACTGCAGAATAATTGATAAGGCGTGTCTGCCAGTCACACTGCCTGTGAGATGAGGTCATAGGTCAAACAAACAGCAAGGGAATAATGACTTCCGGAGAAAGGATAGGATTGAACTGCGTCTGTATTTCTTACTTGTGTTTTCATTCTCCGATGCTACTCGGTTATGTCGTTTATTCTAGAGAGAGCGTCCTAAAGATACATGCAAATGTAGCAGTCTTTTGTTTCCTTATGATATGCAAATCTGTTCTTGCATAATCTGTATTTGCAGAGAATAAAAGTTAGGAGAACGCTTCTGCAAATGGCAATACGAAGACTGAATTTGAAGTATCTCGTGATAGGTAATACAGTGCAGGACCCCTTTAAAAATGGCAAACTAATATGCAAACTCCTTCCAGGCGAAACGCTATAGTTTGCCGGATAAGATCACCCGATATCTTACTTGTGTACGGTACACTAGGCCAAGCGGCCGCGTTTCCCCTTGCATGCCCGGGGGTAGCTCAGGATTTTCCTTTCCTGGTCACTATAAGCTCATGGTTTCTGGAACTGGTAGACCATAAAATGTCTGAGCACTAGAGCTGCGTACGTGAGGTTTGGCACCTAGCTGAAAGCTGGCAGGAACTTCTAAAATGCACCAATCGGATCGCTGATTGTGAAAAAGTCCCTCAATGCCGGATGACCGCGCAGTAGTTAGTAGGGCGCCCTCAATAGTTTACTCGTTTTCGCACCATTCATTCCGTTCTAAAATCAGGTTTAAAACACAGTCCCAACCAGAATACCTCCAAAGTTGCCCTTACCGTGCATTACTGACAAATGTGAGTACAGCTGTATACTCTTTGGTGTTTATATTATTAGATCATACAGTGATTCTTGTGCTAATATATAAAATAGAAGAGTTTAGAGTACAAACCTTAGCCTTAATCGGGGACAATTGTTTCAACGTTACGTGTACACTTATGTGTAGTGGGCACATGTACGTTCATTCCAGTGAATTTATTAGTTTTATTTTTTGTTTCTTCCCCAGCCACCACGGTTTTCTGTTCCATATATTTCCAAAACTACACTCCTCCGTTTAAAAAATCACTGTTTCTGCAAGATTGCTACGGTATCCTGATCAACTGCAAGTCACCAACTCCCTGTTTTCTGATTATGTAGGTATAATACACAGACAGATTTCTTCATTAATACCATCCTGCTCATCAGTTTAATCAGGTGCCGTAGAGTTGTTGTGTTACCCCTTTCAAGCCAAGCCTCCCTTTTCAAGTGAACCTAGTCACGTCTTCACACCGATAGTGTTACAAAACGCCTTCACTCACTCCACACCTTGGCTCATTGATTCTCGGCTAAGTTTTGCTCCTCGACGATAATTTTGTACTTGTTGTTAGGGAGGAGGGGGAGGCCAGTAAAAGTGCACAAGTCCCAAACTTGGCTTCATTAGATTATAACCATTATAACTTTAAAACAATTACCTCTTAATCAAACAAAGTTCATGTTTTATGAGAGCTTTGAGAGTGAATAGTCTGTTCACGGTGAGAAAGTGAGTGCAGGTAGCCGATACTGAACTAAAGGGTGCTGACATTCCTAGACAGTGGCCCCACAATTAGGGTAAGGTCTCACCTATGTCTGGGCGGCCTACATAATTGTGACTGGAATACACTTACAACTAGAGTTTAGGTCGAAGGTTTACATGAACTTGGACTTAGGTTGATTAGTGACAATTTTTGAGGACTTGATTGGTTCCTTGCCACCATTTCCTGTTTGTGTTTGATCAATCCAAGCATACTGAGTCAGCCTAACTACTAACTTAGAGGTTCGTGCTGATGAAGTAGAGGTACCAGCTGATCATCTACGAATAAAGGGAATGGTTGTCCTCGAAGTTGCAATCAAAGCCTTTCGGTTCAAACTTCTGTATGCTGTCGACAACATATGTGATTGGGACCGTTGGCGTACATATGCATATATATATAATTCATGCAGAGCTTGTTTTCCGTTTTGATACACATCTAAATGCAGCTGTTCCTGAACCTTTTTCTTTGTGACTAGCTTCAACAAAATGTATTTTTTCTCTTAAACAAATCAGAATCAGCGTGAAACATGCAGCCTGTATAATGGCTTCAAAGGTAAATTAACCTTCGATCGGCCTTTGATTTCTCTCCTATGTGACTTCACCTGTCCGCTCGGTTTTGACAGTTTTTTTCCAAAAAAAGAACGAGGTTATTCGCGTTTAGCAGAAGCACCTTCTCATCAGTTGAAAAGAGCCATGCTGGCTGCGGGAGTATTAATTTTGTTGGTAGTGATGAGCACATAACGCATGTATCTCGTAGTCGTTTGTGAACCAGCGAGGTGAATTTCCTAACACAGGACCCTCCATTGCTAGGAAAATCGCACCCACCATCTTTTGGTTCAGCTTGGGACCCATAATTCCTTACATTGGCGTATGAAGTATTGTTAAACGAAATAATATTGAGTGATTTAACATGGAAATGGTAACGAGCAAGCAGCTTCATTAATCTTGGTTCAAGTTGGAAGTTCATTGTAAGAACAGCGTTTACAATTAAACACATTATACATGTTTAAAAGTCTCAGACAGTCTCCCTATTCAACAAATGCAAGTTGACTGTGTATTAACATTTCATAATGACCGTTGAGAAGTAAATCACGCGCTGGTACCTAAACATGAGACAGTTTAATCGATTCTGATTGGTCAAGAGTCTGTGTGCGTGCGACTCGCCGTGCGCGACCCAAGTCCATTTAAGGATATTCTTGCAGACAAATTTGCATAAGGAATATACACAATGAACATGAAATTCTACAACAAAATCGTTAGAAATATATCATATATTGACTTCTCTTGGCTCTGTGGCTAAAAAGGTATTTATGAACGGGATTAAGTATTTGCCGAGCCAACTTGACTTTAGACTTCGCGCTTATGCCTTGCCAAATACAAAAAATCAACTCAAATTGTAATCGACACGACATAAGCACGACGTTTGAAACGGGCCTCATTTAGCTAATTTGTTTAAAATTATGTTTAAATGCTGCACACTTTTCCATGGTACATACACGTTCACATTGGTGAAATATGTTTAGCATTTAAACATATTCCTCAACGTATTTCAATGTAAAATGTCCAAACATATCTCTGTGAAACGTGTGAAGGGCTTAGAAATGTTTTTAAACTTTAGGTGCATTTTTTACAGTGTAGGTAGCGAATTTCGCTAGTGTCGCGGTAAAAAAAGCCCTTCGCACAACTGATGATGAAAAGACGCAAACGTATTACACATGCGATACTATAATAACGTATGCTTGATTTGTCAACCACAATGTCATGACTTGCATGGTTGGACAATACATTGTCAACTTAGTTTGAAATTTACGTATTACTTTATCAATCTGGCGAAGCCAAGCAAAATCAAACATTATCATCTGTTAGGCCTACCGAATGAAACTATTCTTACCACTGCGCGAACATGAATCGTCCACACTAGAGGGGCGCTGATGATCAAATGTCCTCGCTTCGACCGGTCAGAGAAGTACGTCTTCATCGAGTACAGGGTTAAATGAGTCTGCAGCAGATTGGATTGGGGGAGTTAATCACACGACAGGCCTTCGGGGCTGGCCGGGAATGTAGCTGGAAAATTGCGCGAAGGTTTTCGGGAGTTGCAAAATGAAAGAATCACAACCAACTTGCTTTTCTATTAAGTAAATCATTGCACTTCGACGAGTCACACGAACAATGAGTTTTCTCAATTCAAAAATTGTAGCAAGGTGCATCTATTACGTTGAGTTTTATGTGCATACCATGCTGATCCATAGTAGGGCAAGTTAAGGCAACAACCATTTCTTGACCACTGGTCTGTATATCCTGGTAGCGTGTGCACAAAGAAATGTTTTTGGTGTCAGGCAAAGTTCCTGAACAAATTTATAGTGGTCGCTTGAACTTGCTTGCAATTGTAGTGGTCAGCCTTGATTTTGTCTGCCGGAATTCAATCCTATTTGAATTGTTTCTCTTGTTTGCAGACGTTTTTCCCCACCGAGATACTGAGAATGGAGTTCCACATAGACCGGGGATGCCTCGACTCCACCTGCATGAGCCTGGTCCACCTGTTCCAGTGCAAAGGCACCAGCTCCGACCAGGCCGCCTCCTAGCGTGCCAGCCGCACCCTGACCGCTACCAAGACCTACTGGTGGAACTGGACGAACACCACCATCATCAAGGCCGGCACCACCTTCTGCACTGGCGTGCCGGTCATCGCCGACAGGGACGTCACCCTGGGCCTGTCCAACACCTTCGCCGTCGGCCAGAGCGGGGGCGAGGATAAGACGTAGTCGGATGAATGGAGCTTCAACCTCCCGACCTCGGTCAAGGCCAAGACCCTGCTCCGCGTGCAGGTCCAGATCCAGCAGGGGAAGATCGACGTGCCCTTCTCGGCCGTGATGCAGAAGGGCAACAAGCGATGGGAGGAGGTGGGGACCTACCACGGCACGCAGAGCTACAACTTGCACGTGGATTACAAAGAGATACCGCTGTGAAACCATCGGTAGTACACAAGCAGCCTTTTGGCGAATAAGCCTTTATTCTCAGATATAATGGTTTTCTGCATTATTAGCAGATTAATTAATCCACGTCCGACCTCTTTAAGATGCGATTGTCAACAACACACACATCCGTTGAAACCTTGCATCCGTTACTACAAATGACTTTTGTATGCACACGTGCCATTGCTGGCCTCAGCCAAGAAAATTGGATTCAGCTTGCACTCACAGAATGAGTAGTAAAAACACCATGTAAAAAAAATCTGGTAAAATTATACATAAATTAAATACAGTTTTCCAGAAATAAATACGTATTTGTTTTGTAACGTTAAATTGTCATGGTTTATATGGAATTTGGTTTTATTTTACAAAAGTAATATAAATTCGGCCGAATTTGTACGATAACTAAGTATGATTTACAAATGATATGTAATGCATACAAGTGTTAAGTAAATTATTACCAAGTTAAGGGGTAAAATTCTCCATTTGCTCTCGCCGCCGTGCCACCATCGCGATATCGCTCAACTTGAAATTTGCAACATGGAAAGAATGCAACAACTTCTGAGGAACTGGGCATTTGCAGATTTGATATCCGTATGTGAAGGTAGACCTGGTCTTAATTAGACTTGATTACATCTTGGAACGAAAGATTTCTGCTTGTTTTGAGAAAGTACGTGGGCAGGTGGGCCAGACCTACCGCAGTATCGGGACGTGTGCGTTGATACCGTCATGACCATGGCATAGGCTGTATGCTGTGTACGAGTATGCAAATTTTGTTCACGTTTATACTTGCTGGCCAGCAGTGACAACAAGATTATTGTCTCTTGGCTAGGGCTTACTGCATGTTTGACCGAATTTAAATAATGGTCCAAATGCAATTCCCACAGTGCCTTCGACCATTGTTCAAATTCAGTCAACATGGTAGGCCTATATTCCTTCTTGAGTAGCAGACCCTATACCACTACTGCACTAGTTCAAAGTTAGCCCAGTACCACTGATTAGCAATATGGCTTACTGGAGGCCTGTTATATTTTGCCTAGCCTACACATGTGGCATGGAGTCCAGGCTATGTCGACCAAGTCTAGCCCATGTACATGTACGTGGCATTGCTTGGAAGTGAGTTTTGCTCACCATTTATTTTTAGAATATGTTATGACTTTAAAAGTGGGCCTGTGCATGTACATCTAAGGAAAAAAACTCAAGATGTATTAGGACTATAGACGATGATTGAGGGACAGAATAGGTGGAAAATCTTTGAAAATGCTCAATACAGCTGGCCCAAAACTCTAAAACCGAGGTCTGCATTTTTCTGCCGTCCTTCGTTTGAAAGTCTGACCTTATGCAGCCATGGTTGCATAAAAGTTTTCCATGTGCAGCTGTTGATATTTTCTGCGAGATTTTCATTTTAGGTATCATTCCAAGAAATTTGATTTAAAAAATTGTTCATATAAAATACACACCCAAAGAGAAGGTGGAAACAGTGAATCAAAATCTGTCCTCGCCTTTCTTTTTTCGGAACAACGATTTGATGACGAGTCATTTGGCCCTCTAACAGAAGAATCTGTGAAAGAGGTAACTCCGAAGGTGGGAATCCGTCTGAAATGTATGGCCCTTCATCGTGCAGAGGTTATGCAAGTGGTCTGCATAGGCTTCTGAGTGTGTCCAGTGACTGTACACTATTTTGAATTATCTGCCGATGAATTGGCAGAAATCTACTGCCTTTCAAAATAAAATCAAGAAATCGTTTACCTGCTGTAAATGTTTAATTAGAGTACCAGGAGGCCTCTTCACACATATTATTTTGTCTTCTACTTGCACAAAGCTAGTATGTGGAGAGAAAAACTGTCAAAAATATTCTGGCGTGGTTAACATAAAACGTCACTTGGAACGAAATCATAAGCCTCAGGATAGAAATGATGACACGTAGGAAAGGCTGAACATCAAACAGCCTGGAGAGAATGATGATGTACACCATCTTGAAGAGCAAGAAGAAGTTCCTTAAGAACAAGATGATGTAGGGAGAGAAGAAACCACACATACAGATGACATACAAGCCTCTTTGGTAGCTAAGGATGCGAGGTACAGGAATTCCTGCAACAACAATTCAGTACATCATTGATGAATCCAAGGAGGTTTTTGGTAAAGTTAAAGGACAGATTCAGCAACAGTTGTCGCCATTAAATACAAGTGTGAGAAATGGGGAACAGCCAACTTAAGAATTTATGAACAGTTTGGAAAATACGCTGGAACGTGTCAAGGATGTTTCTGGTGATTTTGAGACAGAGTATAAACAAAATAAATACATAAAGGATGCAGACCTGCTAGTTGAGCCAACCGAAGTGGAGCGTGGTCACGTTTTCAGAATTCAAACTGACAGAATTAGTCGTACATATTGGCAGCAACAACAGAAGCAATCTTTCCAAGACACCCCTCTAAGTAAAGTAATTACCAAGTTTCTACAGCAGCCAGGCTTTATGTCAGCAATTTTGCAAGGGGCACTGCCAGATGATGATGATGTTTTGCAGTCATATCGTGATGGATCCTTCTTCAAAGAGAGCCTGAACTTTGATAGGTCAAGAGAAACAGTGATACCCATTTGTCTGCATTCAGATGACTTTGAAACAGTTAACCCGCTGAGCTCCAGAAAAAGCATCCACAAGCTTTTATACTGAAGTGTATGTATCTTTTCCATGCTTGCCTTTGCACTACCAAACTTGTCTGCACAATATTCTTTTGACAGCATTGGCACCCACACAATTTGTTACAAAGTATGGAATGGAAAGGATCTTTACTCCAATCAGAACACAAGAGCTATTGGAGATTGAGAGAACTGGAATACATATCAACTGTTCAAATTAGTATGTGGGAAGTGTTTAGCCAAGATTACTCCAAGTGACAGGGGACAACCTTGGCTAAAATTTCATGCTTGTGTATGTGACGAGTTTTGTAAGTAACTTCTTACATTTTGTTCGAAAAAAGTCGTTCCTGTGCCTCAAGAAATGGAAGTATAAATGGAAGGGGTTGATTCTGACGAGCCAACGGGTGGGGTTGTCAGTCCGTGGAGGTTATGCAGCGAATCTTGTCCGACCGAAGAATCGGTTTCGCCAAAAGTAACAGAAGTGGAAATGCCTGCTGGGGTAGGTTCACTACGGTTTAGGCGACTACTTCGTGTTGGCATTGCTGTTATTTTTAATGATAGTAACTTTAAAAGCCTCTGGGCAGTGCTTACGAGAACCAATGTATTACAATTTTGGACTCAAAATTATATTTAAAAAAAATGAATTTTTGTTATTTACTTTACCCGTACAGAAATCCTTGCAAAGTGGCAGAGGGCAATCCTCGTTGGATGAAAGAGGGTGGAAAGAAGAAGGGAGGGTAGCGGTATCTGGAGGTAGATCTCAGAAGGCGAGCAATACACAATCTATCTCAATGAACATTTTTGTTGCAAAGCATTTTCCTACTTTCGTGCTACAAGAAAAGCAGACTTTACTTTTCCTCTGTTCTATGGCGGCCGAAAATTGGACATCAGTTTTTGCCTGTCAAAACAGCAGAAAAGTGGATAGAACGCTTTGACGACTGTTTGTTCTTTTTTGCTGCTTTTAGTAAACCAGAAAAGCAGATTTTACTAAGGCGGCCGGAAAGTATGTAGTATTCTGCCCCCTTACGGTCGTGAACGGCGTCGTAAACCTGTAGCTTGGCAATCTTGCGCCAAGCGGGGCGTATCTACACATGTACACGTGTTATCCTAATGGAGTCAATTTATATGTGTCTCTAAAAGTGAAACACATGAACGCATCACATATGCAACGCATTAAAAGGAACTACATAATGCTCGTTTTCAGTACCGTAGCTCTCATGACTCAGATGTGACAATTATAGGCCTATTATTTCACATGAACAGGATAGTGATGAAACAAGGTTTGGAATCATTCCAAATCGTTCGGCAGTCGCTTGATAGGGATTGATGACAGACAGCATGGAACATTACACCTGAACGAAGTGAACTTGCTTCATCGACTGCTGTGAGCTATGACGGTCCTGCAGTTAGCGACACCGGATCCGTTCTTGTCCTTTGTCCTGGAGTGAATCCCTGGGGCCCACGCCACTGTTAGGCGCAGCACGAAATGAGGGCTTTTCAGACCCCCCTCCCATTTACGCATGCATAGGCAGTGGCTCCAACCCCCTCCCCTTTGTAAGCATAAGCATTCCACAATTCTGAAAGACGCTGCCGGTCTTTGTGTCATGAGTAATGTTGAGGTTTACTGATAATGGGGGTTTGCACGGGAGGATAAATGGTTGGGCGGACGGTGGAGAATACCGTGTTTGAATTGTTTCTGGTAGTTATTTGTCGGAGAAAGTGTACTGATATGATGAAGATGCATCAAACGCAAATTTTCGTTTTGCGTACGGCACGTACTGGCCTGAACCTCCCCCTTCTATACGCATGGTGTACGCAACACCAAACCCCCTCCTTCCCTTCCTGCGTACCCACTTTATGGACGGCCCCTTACCCCGTCTAGGCCTGCAGTGAAACCTGCCCGCACTGAGACGTGGGGAAAACGTCCTGGCTAGTTGGGCGAACAAAAATGGCCTCCTCACACCCTTGTAACCACCCCCCCACGGATTTTTCTCGTTTTTTACCCTTGCACACTGTTTAAGAATATTTCATGGTTGAGTAGGAAAGAAAGTTTCTCATTTTGACCCCCTCCAATCATAATTAGTATAAATTATATCCTAAGTGTTCTTTTAGCCAACCTGTGCATTTGTAGACACGTATTTCAGTATACATGTACTGTACGCACATAGCTTACCGTTGAACCTGGTTTATAGCTTGGAGAAATACCGACAGAAATTGTATCCCGTTGTTGTGTTACGGGTTGTGCGACAAAGGGCAGATTCCAAAGAGAAAGGGGTCTGGTTCTTCAGACTTCCCAAACGTAGAAGGCAGCGAATGGATTTGGTAGACAACAGTACACTAAACATCAGTACCTGTTTACAAATGTACGGGTTGGCTCCAGGAATATCAACGATTTAAGTTATTCTAATTATGACGGAAGGAGGTCATACTAAGAAACGACAGTCTCGTGCGCACGGGAAATATAACGATTAATAAAGTCCTTTTACAGGGCACTACAAAATCCCGCTTAGATTAGAAACTTATAGTAAAATGATGAAATGGGGTTTTCTGGGAAAAAAAGCCAGAAATCTTGAGAAAAAAATTGTCATGAAAGTGTTGCTCCCTGTTCCTTTTCACTGGCCCGCTCACACCTCTTGCCGCCAAGGCCATAATGTTTGCATGCGTGGGAATTATGAATTTAGCGAAAAGGTCTATATCCAGCAGAGATTTACGGCACTGCTACTGATGTCATGAAAAAAGCTGATTGAAGGCGAACAAGCTTTTGTATTAACCGTTGTATTCGGCAATGATGTCATGAAAAAAGTTGATTGAAGGCAAACAAGCTTTTGTATTAACCGTTGTATTCGGCACGGTAATATGGTGGCCAAGTTGCTTCAATAACCTCTGTGTGTTGATTAAACTGGGGACTACAGGTAAGGATATTTCTACATGAAATCGCTGTTTAAGGAGACTTGCCTCTTTCAGGAACAAAATGGTGAAAAGGGGACAGACCCTGTGGTTTGGGGACACCGACATTGGAAAGAGAGGGGAAAGCAAATTGTACGATCGCTAGGCATCCTGCAGCCATTATTTGACTACATGATTTAAGGAAGGTTGAGACAACGTCACACAATGTAATCCTGCGGCAATTCATTATAAGTTATTACAATATCATGACGCTCATATCGCTTAAATTGTTGATGCATTTACGAGCAATAAGCCCTTTCCTACAGCAAGAGGCACTACACAGTATTGGTTTGACCTCCGGTACAGTTACCCATACACAATTGTGCTCAAAACACAGCTGCAATATAGAACACGTCTGATTGACCCTTCAATATTCATGTTGAAATGTCAGCTTCATGACAACCTCGGAAACGAATTGCTGCCCAACACGGATAAAAGGACTATTTTACCCCCTTCAAACGGGTTGTTTTCTTTTTTAAACTAGAAAGAGTAATGTCGTTTAAACGATATCGTTATGATTAGAAACAGAGATAGCAATATCCCGTTAAAACAAGAAGGCTATGTCATCGACAGCCTTGCGCTTCCGTACCTAAGTACCAAGTAAGTGTTGACAGTGAAAAATATTGAGGGAATGGCGCAACCTAGACAACAGCGGTAGGTAACAACCTCAACATTTATCTACAGAAATAAATGAATATTTGGGCCATGGCGTATTCAATGGCCTATAAGGCAGGAAATACAAGCCGTTCCACCCCATCCCCGGAGATATGTTGCCTCTTTACAGAATGGCAAGTGGTAGTATTTTTGAAACGACACTACCGTCTTTGAGGGTGTGGCAACTCAAGGCTCACAAAGTTGTAGATTCGAGTCATTTTGAGAAAATGTTCAATTTGCCTCCCTGACCCCAAACTTGTATTCAGCAGTGGTACTGAGATAATCAATTAACGCTTTTCTTTTCTGGTGGAGGGGGTTCTCCCTCGAATGAATGTTGTACGTCCAAGTAATTTGTATACAACATCTGCCATTTGCTACGAAAACCTCTTTAAACAGACAATTTTTGACTGTATGTGCACCTACATATCGTGCCTGAGCAGTGGCGGCAAACCTTTGTGCCAGAAAGTGGGGATATGGGCCATTATGGGAAGATGACTTTCCCGGCCATGGAAATTTGAAGAGCGGTCGTGGAGACAGGGCATGGTGACACCATGCACAAAACACTGGATGCGTATCTGTAACATAGATTACATAAATGATAAATCTTATACCAGAATGGCTTGTTTATGGATTTTCTATCGTCCCTTTTAAGTTTATAGAATACATTTTGGTTGTTAGAAAGTCAACAATTCTTCCCAATCGCTTTAATTTTCTTCTCAAATAGCCCATCCCCCTAAACAGAAATAAAAACAAAAAAGAAAGGACATGTACCCCTATCCCGCTGGGATTCACACCCATATGCTAAGGCTGTGTTAATTAAACCTAAAAGATCTGAATTTGTCGAACATTCTTCATCTGGCTGGATTTCCAAGGAAACTAATCTCATTTAAAATTGACATGCATGCCAAGACTCCTTCAATTCTGTTGGACGTATGAGTTTTGTTTTCACGGCCAATTACAGTTTCGATGCGCGGCGCAGATATCCTAGAATTTTTGTGGGTAGCAAACTTCAATGTAGGCCTAACTTTCTTGAGCCACAGCATTTTCAATAACACTAGAGAATTTAAAAAGTCTCGTATACCGTATATAAACCGCATGCAGTTTCAAGAACTTTGCGATTGTGACGCATTAATAATATTAACTTACCTGCAACGAATCAAAACCAACATGTTTGGCCCAAATTAATTATCCACATCATCAATTAGTCTATAAAAATAAGTGCTTTAATCACCACGAAATGCTTACAATTCCTCTTTTGCAACCAGAATATCCGTGTATAGTTTAAACGTTGTCTGAGTACGTTTTATTAATAAAAGACTTAAGAAATGCCCCGAGTAGTCGCAAACTCGAAGCTGTCAACCTCACTACACGTAGTAGCCATATTTTGCTGTAAATCCACTATACACTGATGATCTTATTCACTGTCTGAAACAGGCCAGCTGCATTGATAGCTGTCAGAGAGAAGTGGTAGTTGGTATAGGGAACCAGCGGGGAGACATGCATACCAGTCTCCATGGTCTCCACCCACTGCATAATATCACTACCTCCTGGGATGGTGCCAAGGGATACTTCGTACACCAAGGAGGAAGAGGAGGGGTTGGAGAACAAGCCATCCCAGGCAAGATCGACTTTTCCGTCACCCAACCAGGAAAATCTTATCAGGCTTGGAGCTGTTGGTTGGAAAACAAGTTTAAAATTTGGGGGTGAGTTTGACAGTGGGATTACACATTGTGGGGGAAATGCGTGGTTCACAATTTGGTCTGTCTTGGAAGGCTACCTTGGCACGGCAATACTCCAACTTTGCATTAACAGTTGAGGGCGCATTGGCAAGTGAAAGGTTTTTTGTTTGAAGTTGTTGCATTTCAACCCTTCTCAGCGAAATTTAACATCAAAAACAATGATACCGATGATTATTCTCAGGTTTTTTCGAGCTAGGACATCTTATTAAACACCAAATCCATGTCGGCAAACAGTTGAACCCTTTACCTCCTCCGACAGGCTTGGAAGACTCTACGGTGAAGTTGCCAGCAACAGCCTGGCTAATTAGACCAGCATAATTGACGGCTCTGACTGACAAACTAAAGGTGGCGTCGTCAACCAAGCTGAGGCCTGACCAATCAAGATTGGTCTCTGATGTGGATCCGCAAGTCCTCCAGGACGTGATGGTACTGGGTCCTCTAAGTTGGCACTGGCCAAAGAAGAGAGTTTCAGGGAAAGATGATCAGCTACTGATTTATTACCAGCAAAGTTTGCATCTCTAACCTGCTTCTTGTACAATTGTTTACGCTCACCAACAGCTTACTGAAGAATCCTTGGAAAGCTCAGAGTTTATGTATACCTGGGAAATATGTTATGATCGCATAGATTTGCAAAATGCAAGATCAAACAACATACATGCACACAGAGGCACATTAAGGTATCCATGTCTTTGAGTGATTTTTCCAGTCAGAATTTTTAAGCGCATATTGGAGGTTTTACTTTGGTTCGCTGCCATGCAGACTGATTCAGCAAAGGTAACATTAGATAAAGTTTACTCACCCTCTGAGGAAAATGTACTATCCCATCTTAACCACAGGCAAATATGTATTTTTTCCAGATTGGGAAGGTATTCCTGATTTGTGATTTCATTTGTAGGGGTGGAGGTTCATCAGCATCTTTTGCACGTACCTCATAGGACTGAATTCCAAATGAATCCCTAAATCCATCCCAAGACACTTTGAGGGAGTCTGTCTGTGACTGGTACCCATCTCGTGTTTCGTACTGAGTCTCTGATACAGTCTTCACTTTGACGACGGCTTCTGATGCAATGGGGGGCACTGTCACTACGGTGACCCCGTCGGATGATTTCCATGACGACTTGTCGGCGTGATTGTAGCATGTGACAGTAACGTACAGGCGCTGGCCTTCAACAATACTCTGGAATAGACTGATGGTGACGGTAGAAGAGTCATCGGGCGATTGTGTTCTTGGCAGGATGTCTTCAATTCCAGGCTTTGATCCTTGAGAAACAGCAGGAAATATAAATGAGTTTTTGATGTCTAGCAAGAAACACTGAAAAGAGATTTCAATGTGTCAGTTGTCCACTCTCATTTCAGATGCTTTCCCGTCGATAAGGCCCAACATCAGATGGAGGGTCGTTCATAAGAGGTGTGACCTCATCAGACTTACTCTGGCATAGCAAATATATGTTGCGTCGGATTGTAATTCACTAACACACATAACTTGAGGGGTGACAGATATGAGGAATGTCTACCTACCCACTGCCCATGTACAATGGTCAATTCCACTTTCGGCATCGGACGCTGACCAACTGAAGGTCAGAGCAGAATCTTCTGCACTGAAGTCAATATCTGTTAAGAGAGAACAAGATCCATCTTCACAATCAAGCCTCTTATGACGTGTTGAAATAAGTTGTGGTTGAAGGTGGGATTAATGATCCTGATAAGAGCATAACGAACATGACAAGAAAAAAGAATTATATATAATTATATATATATATATATATAATTAACATCTCCCCAACGCAAAAATACATCTTGAAAAAAAGAAAAAAGAACATGATACATGAAGGAAATTAATTTGTGTTTTGACATGGGAGTTTACGTTGTCATATCTATATCGATCAACAGTAAATGACGCATCTAACTTCAAACAAATTACTTCATCACTGACTTTCTATTTCATAATCCATCACAAGTGCGTGGTGCACAATCTGCAAAATTTATCATCGAAGTTGTTAGTACCAATTTTTACAGGCCTAAAAATTATCATAAATTTATAAATCATGAAATTAGTTCAGATTTTGCATACCCTGTGCACCTGCACCGTCAGTAACAAAATGAATTGTGGGCGGTGTTAGGTCAATCAGTATTGGATCTGAAGTTGCTATGGCAACGAGTTCAGCAGCATTTCTGGCCATCACGGTGACATAGACATAGGAGCCGTGCGGCATTCTCAGATCAGTATTGATAGCATCTGTCTGTGTACCCACTGATCTGAAGCTTTGCAGCTGAGTTCCGCCTGTCATAGTTCCTGATGAGTAGACATATTAAAATCAATGAGTCTTTTATTTCCCTTTTTTCTTTTTCCCCTTCTGGTCATATATTTACACGATAATACCCTAATACGTTGGTAGGAATATGAACCAATCATTAAATTCTTTCTTCTTCAAAAACACAGCTGAAAAGTCTCAAAACTCTGGTTAAAGAAAACAGAAGAGCATGGTACAAGACAATGACCAACCGATGGCCCAGCTGTAGTCCACTATAGGGCTCTCTACGTCAAAGAAAAGCCACTTGGCATGGAGAGACGACCAACTGTCAATGAACTGGGTATGAACTTCCACCGACCCATCACCAGTACTCGGTCCAGTAGTAATCTGCCTCACCTGTGGCATATATTAGGCACAGAAGAACGAAAAGGTATCTTCATCAAATTATATCATGGGTATTAGAGGGCTTTGTCGTGGTAAAAGTAAAAGAAACGAATTTGATTAAACACCTTGATGAAAACAGGCTGACTGACAACTGACAACAGCAAGTGAGCGTTAGAGCAGGGGAAAATACAGTTACGGCATTGCTCTCTGTTTTAATTAATGACATCCGTAACCTGAACTTGGACGTGCACTTAAACATTTGCAGAACGAATACTTTAAAAGAATTACTATATCTGACATCATCTCAGACTATTCTAGGCGTCATATATTCCAACCTCAAGAAATTTCCTGTAATGACTGTGATTTGCTCACCTGAATGTTATCTAGCAGAATTCCATTAGACTGACCCAAAGATGAAATTTTCAAAGTTGAAACATCCTCACTGGCTGTGAAGTAAAACCTGTGCTGATGCCATGTGATTGAGCTTAGACTCTGATCTGAGTGACCATGTGCTGGCCGGTCATACAGCATGAAGACACGATTTAATCCAGGTGCCTCAACCTGACCTTCCTGATTCAGCAAGGGATTGTGGGACGGTACAACATGACTTGCAAAAATCACCACCTGGTAGTGGCTGCCCTCAGTTGTGTTAAATTGTTGGGAGATGGAGCCGTGAAGAGACAAGAAATAATGACCGTCCTGGACAATGTTTTTGTCAGAGGTGATCACAGACAACTGGCTGTCAGGTCCTTTATCCCACTGCACCGGAGGTAGACCCTGTGCACCACTGGTCATCATTGCGGCATTGTATGGCTTTTCATTAGTAGTTAATATGCTGGCAGAAGTAGAATAATTGTTAGACGCACTAACATTGTCAGATTCTGCAGACGATAACTCCATCGACGAAGCCGTAGGCGGTTCAAAAGTCAATGGATTGTTTGTTGTATTTGTTGTATCAGGAGTATCCATATCTAAAGGGAAAGAAAAAAAGGTTTAAACTAATTTTTTCGAGACCTAAGCAGTGGCTAGAATGTATTATACAAGTGCCTTGTGCTCTAAGTCTTCAATGGCAACATTTTTCAAATTATAGAGTCCTTTCAATTTATAATTTGTCTTGTGTAACAATATTAATAGATTTCAGCTAAAATATTCAAATTAGCTGTAATAATTTACCTGTATCACCAATTCCCTGTATCTTTTCAAAGGACGGGTTCTGGATCAAATTATCCCCCAAAAGGACGTGTTCTAGTGGCTCAGGGGGAGTGGTGTCCACCACAAATCCGTCTGAAGCAACCGCCACAGACTGTAGGTTAGCTGCATCGAAAGCTGAGATCTTGGAGTAGTACCGAACACCTGAGAAAACAGAACTTAAGGAGTTCAATGTTCCTGTTTCATTCTCCCTTGGAAATACAACCGGTCATCAATCATTTGCAAATCCTCTTGTTTTACTGAGTTGAATTGATTTGTCTCAACCTGCTTGAGTCCCCGGTGCTCATACATTTATTATATTAATTGTACACAAAACTGCTATGGTGATATTGACGTGATTTGGTCAACTTTGCAATGGGTGATACAATTTATCGCAATGCGTAGAGGCTCTTAAACCAGAAATAAACGAACCAATAAAAAGTACTAATAACTGTAGCTCAAAACATCAAGTAAACACCCGTCCATGAACACTTTTTGGGGCTGATGTCAGCAGCACTCTTTGCAATTGCAGCTAAGTCTTTCATAAAAAAGAGTAGAATAGATTAAAACAATCTTCATAGGACTATTTACCATCTGTGAGAGGAAAAGCTAGAGTCTGTGAGGCAGACAGCTGAACTCCAACATCTATGCAGCGCAGGATACCATTATCTGCAGGGTTAGAGGTCTGTCCAACGCACCACTCATAGTGGTCTATGTAGGATTCAAGATCCACAAAGCCATGCCAGGAGGCTGAGATGACCGTGCTGGAGTTCTGGTACTCTACATCATGGAGATCTGAAGAAAAGGTGCAAGTTTATTTATGGATGCAACTGTAGCAAGGACATTCGGCAGTTGGAAGAGATTTTACAATGTAACATAAACAATGTGTTATATTGTAAAAAGGCCTCATTGATACGAGTATATCAATGACGTTTTTGTCTTCCATTACATGCCCCATACACTAAGCATATACCAATGGTAAAAATTAATATTTTGGGCCCAATTATCTGAAACGATAGACGTTTGTGAGAACACACATATTCATAAAACCGTCAAAATTACTGGAATACTTCATCACAAAAAACACTGAATGTCGAAGAACATTCATAGAGCTCTGCATGCGCTATACAGCGCTTAAAACAATGAGAGACTAACAGTCAACTGCCTACCCATTCCATCAAACACTAAGCCTGGGTCTGGTCTCCTGGTGTCTACCACAAAGCCATCACTGCTTTTCAGCGTGTGCAAACCAGCTTTGTTGAATGCCCGTACGTTGCCGTAGTAACGTAGTCCACTTTGCAGGTCCAGGCCAGTGAACTGGGCGAAAGACCCATTAGCTGAGAAGATGTGATCAGCAAACTGGAGAATATCTTCACCTGAGCAGGAAAAACATTCGTTTTTTCGGTTCTCTTATGGTTTCTCTGTCATTACGTTCGGTTGCACACAGTAATAAACAGCGCAGTGATAATGGACCGGTCCGAAAGGACTCTGAGAAGCAGCAAGCAGACCTCTTGGGCAGGTGCTGGAAGACCCCAGCTGCTGGTGATGTTCTCACCATCTGAACGGGTAAATCTATGTTGTAAGTATACTCAGCCCACCTCTTACATATGTACTTGGACACACCTGAAAGTGGTTGTATTCACCTCTTGGATAATTACAATTCATCTACGTGTGATCAACACATTACACCTCTCCCACAAAGGCAGATACGTAAGAGATAGTACTTACCGTCCTAATGGGTACTGACAAGCACCTAATCGTGAGTGTTTTCATTTTTTATGACAGGTATCGAGAGTCACTTTGGGGTGACTCTTCCCCCCCCCCCGCTGGAGTGGTACTAGTAAAAAGAGATAACTTACCTCCTGGATATGTGCTAAGAGATACCAGGTAGTGGGACATAGCATCATCCACGAACACTCCTTCCCATGAGATGAAGACCATGGTTGGATCTGTCAAGTAATCAGTGTCTTTGATGGCACCAGGGCTTGCAAGATCTTTGACCTTAAATGATAAACAACAATATTATTGTTATCATATCTCCACTATAAAGGTTACCCCTCAATGCTTACTAGTTGCTTGGGAGGAAAAATTCCCACGGTGAGACATCTGACTTTAAGAAACGCCCATATCACAAACAAAACTACTTTAAAAATTCGAACACAACTACACACTCGAACGTCTGAGAAACTGTAGTTTCTGTTTATGCATATATACTTGTCACTGCTGTGATCTGTAATGTACAAAACTGCTTGAAATAAAATTTGGCTTTATGGTTGCAATTCTGTCCTTTCATCCAGTCACACCTTGTTTAACCCATACCTTCAAAGTTGGATTTGAATAAAATAAGCTATATTATAGATGGGAATTCTCCCGATATTACAGCAGGCAGTGTTAGAACCACTCACCCGGGTGGTACGTTATGGAAATGTGTTAATACCTACTCTGCATTCTGTATTGGCAGACCACTTAATCGTAGTTAAGGAACAAATGATAAGATATTTGCTGTAGTTTTCACATTGTCTCAAGTGTTTTGACAATGCGTTTCACTTACCTTTGTGCCTCTTAATTTTGAGATTTTTGGTGGTGTAACATCAGGGGTGATGCCATCTGACCTGAACACAGCGTAGGTATTCATGTCATACCAGGCTCGGACGAACACGTGATACTTAACTCCCTTCTGCAGTTTGTGGTCTAATAAATAAATGCCCAGAAATACCTTGAGGTATCGCATACTTATAGAGCAGCTTAATTGATGCAAATGTATCTCTACTATCTTGCTATAATTCATTCAACAATGGGTAGAAAGTCAAATCATACTAGGAAAGTCTAATGATACGATTAGAACGAAGATCTCAAGGATTCAGTACAAAACAAAATGCAGAGGGGAAGCGAAGATTTACCCAAGAGAGAAGTAAACAAAGCAGAAATAAAGCAGTGAAAATTGCTAACGAATGAAAGCCTCTGGTGCATGACAATATCTCATTTCCCTACTGTGCGCATTTTTATCTCAATATTTAATAAATTCGTTCTAAATAAGATACGCAATAATTGTAGTATTGTTACTCGCTATCACAATGGCTTATTCACTTACGTGAAGGCGTTTGAGTAACTTTTAATTAAAACTGAAGAAGTACTGAAGACAAATTTAGCTAGGATCAAACGTCGGCCCTGTCATAGCAAAACAAAACAACTGTTTCAATTGAATATCAAATTAGGGTTACAACAAATGCTTTTGCAGATTTCATTACCTTCATCTAATGCTATGAATGTACGGTTATCCTGCCCAACATCAAACCAGACTCTGTCCTGCACTGGATCAAAAACTCCAACTGGATCTGATGAAAAGTCATCGCCGATGCTCCATTCAAGCCTGGAAGTGTTCAGTTAAAAAATCTTTTGAATAAAAAGTGGCACAGATATGTAGTTAGAGGTCCATGGCAAGTCTTTCTATTTGTCTCTGGAGGAACGAAATAATTGAGTATGTTCGTGATTGGCTCTTGCTACAACGCTGCAATTTTTAAGAACCAAAGTTCCTTTGCTTCATTTCAGATTTGGCATTACCACTAATCAACCCACAATATTCCCACTGACCATTTAATGTCCAGCCCTTTCTCCAGGGTGGTTCGCCAAACTGCAGCCGCCATGTAAAGGGTAGCAGTGTGGTCAATATCGCTTAAGCTGTTCACATCATCATGCATCAGATTCAGTACATCCAGGACCTCTATCTCAGTATTGGGATTACCTGGCGGCGTTGTAATTAACGTGACAAGACAATGAACAATCAGTAGAATAAAATGCAGATCACGATTTTATTTCATTGTTATCAAGATAGCAAAGTGTAATAAATCCTCAATAACATAGCGAATGATCAAATGACACTATTCTTAAAGTTTTCTTGTGTTGCATGATATAGCCTTTCTTTAAACAAAATATGAATGTTGTTGTTTACTATCTGCGTATAGATTAGGCGGTGGCACTGAACTGTACCATCCGTAGGGGGGGTAAGCAAAGGGTGAACCAACAACTCAGCAAATAGTCGTTTTCTTGTCAAGCAAAGAGGTGTGTCACCCACATATATAACACTTGGTGAGGTTAACTTGAAAATGTTTAATGTAATCTGTATTGTAGCCCATTCAATTTCTCAGCCTTTATAAGTAACTATAAAAAACTATTAACTTTATAAGTTAAAAACTATTCGGTGTTTTCAATATGAACAACTTGCAATCAAAAATGAGCTTACTGTCGCTTATGTTATTGCAACTCTGGCCCTGATCTGGAGCACATTGTTCATCGATGGCTGCGCACGTACAGTGACCCTCGCAAGTTGCAGCTGAGCAGCGTCGCAGCAAGACAAGGGCACCCTCACCGGGCGAAGTGGCAGAGGCCTCGAAAGTGGAATGATGGTGGTTGCTCAGCAGTCCAACCTTCGTTGGAAAAAGCGAAATTCATCTCATTTGTTCAGTTGTCCAGCATGAGTTTCTTTCTTGTCTGTATTATTAATGCGCTGACATATTTCCCGTCTAATTAACGGTGAACTTTACCCTCATTAAGCCCAATTCTTGTTAAAGCATCAACAAGAATTCCTTTCTGGCTCATTTTACGTTGAACGGAAACCAATAGAGAACAATATCTTGAATATATAATTTCCGTTGTTACTTACTTCTAAAAGACTTCTAAAAGAAGACAGTGCCCCCCAAAACCAGACTTTTCCACACAACATTGTCATTAGAACACAGTACAGATCAGTCACAAGTAACGGAGCGCATAATGGCAAAGGAGTTAAGCTTTGATAGCTTGGGATTTAAATTCAGACTGAAGGTCTTGTACTTGTTGGTCTGGTCTTGATCTTGTTGGGCCTTGTGATGGTCAGAAGAGGAATTGGTTACAACACTGCTAAAATACCCAATAACCTGACATTTCCTGGGGGACACGGAAGTCTCTGCTTTTGCAATGTGAATTACAGCTACCTACCCCATTAACGGCCCAGACGGAGATGTAAATATACGGAGGAGATAGACCTGTAATACTGCCCTCTATTGGTACAATAGCGGTCTGTGCAATGCCTTCATCCAATGCGATGCCGTCATTGCTGTGGTTGACTCGGACTGGCCCGTTCTAGGGAAAGAAAAATGTCATGAAGTTTATGTATGATAGCATTTACTATGTATAGGGCCTATCTGTGACAGTTTGAAGTCACTGCAAGATCAATAAACCTTTCCATTTTCCAAGGAGAAGCATCGGACAAACACGACCACTATTGAATTTATGATACATGAACTAAATTATGAATCCCTAGTTCGTGAAAGTGTTTTCGTTAAACGATCAAAAATTCCTGTTTGCAGAAACATAAGAAACTTGTGGTTTTGACGTTTCAGGAGGGCATAACGACCGTTGAACTGTATTATAAAACATTCCACAGTTTGGTTTTAAGATAGTTGGCATTCGAGAGGTTGGATAAACATACCGGAGTGAGTTCCGAACCACCGTAGGTGTGTCCGACGGATACCAAGTAGTGGCTAATACCAGAGTGCACATCCGCAAATCCCAGCCAGGCCAGGGCTAAGGAACCAGTGGAGGTGCTGGTGTCTTCCAGCCAGGTCATCCAACCAGAGTGGTAGCGTGGGGGAGTCAAGGTGGTAGACGGAATTTTGGTAGTCGTGTTTGCCGAGTAGGTTACATCACTTGTACGGCCAGTGCCATCAGGCTGCAATGGAGAGTGTGTATTTCAACAGTAGATTTATGTTGATGCAATACAGTTTTGTTCAAAAAGGGAGCTTATAAAACGCGTCCTCTCAGTCTTGGATCTTATCAACACCACGTATGGGCTGCTTGCTCAAACACTTTGGAATGCGGCAGCTTTTTTTGAGGGACATTTTGCACAAAATGTGCCTCGTGGAAGGAATTCTATTAACCAACAAATAGCTCTTTTTGTCACTGGTGAGTGGGGAAAGTGTACTTGCAAAAAGCGTGGAACCCACTGGTCTGATGACCTGTTATCTGAAAATATTGACAATAGCACAGATATTTATGAAGATGACTCACAATAACATTCCTCGAAAGTTTTCTCAGATTTCGTACAATATCTGAATAATCCCGACTGTCTTGCTAGAAGCAGCACCTAGTTGTTTGTCTCTGAAGTACTAGCATTAATCTATGGCATGGCTGCATGGCGACAATTTACTTTACATTCCACTGGTAAAGTAATGTCGGGGGATTTTCAGGTGTTGTACGTAAAAAACAAAATGAATGTTTCAACTTGTTTCATAAAATGGAAAAAATGCTTTTGTGACAAACGAAATGGCCAGTTATATCCTTTGTTTTGCCTTGAGGAGTGGATCATTTTGTCTGTCTGTTTATGAAATTATTCTTACAACTATACTCAAAAGCATTAATCCAGTATTAAAATGCAAATAGGTGACATAACCGTCGTAACCACATAACAACGGTAATTGACACAAACATACGGTGGTATTGGACTCAGTTGGGTTGGTGGTTTCAGCCGGCTGCGTAGGATCTATCCAGACGATATGATGACGTTTTAGGTCAGCAGCACTCTCGCTTGCCACAGCAAATGCCCCAACCGAAGGTGGGCTTCCATCAACCTGTAACAGAAATTATGCAATAAAATAAAAAAAACCTCCTTGTTGGCAAAAGAAAAGGATAACCGAGTGGTCGACGATGAAGGTAACAAGGGTTTTGGGGAGGGGGTTCTAAACGAATCTGCATTAAAAAGGGCACCGTCGATTTAGTCTTTAGAATGAGATATTCTGGCCAATCTACGGCCTTGTGAAAATTTGCCAAGCTAACAGACAGTGATTTGCATCTATTTCGAAAAGAAACAATTTCAACAATGACAAGACAAAAATGAATGTTTTCCACGACAAAAAGCTGCTAGCAGTATCGATCAAGTCAGCTACCTGAGTTTGGAAAAAAATAAAACCAAATCTAGTATTGTCGAATTTAAATCAAAGCATAATATCTAAACATATAGCTGGCCAATCAAAAAGCATTTTTTACGCTGCACAATGTTTCCGCCATTATTTTTCTGAAGTAAAGACAATCATTTACAAGAAGACATATTCATGAGTGTGTATTTATAGTGTAGGAGATCAATACTAGGCCTACATTACTCACCAGGAAAGGTTCCGTCTCAGCCTCCGTGCAGAGGCCAGCAAAGTTGCAAGCCACCACTGCTATGATGTAATGACTTCCTTCTTGTAATGTCAGATTAGTGAAAGTGTGGTCCAGCTCACTCCCGGCAATCTTAAAATTATCACACAGCAAAACGTTCTCTTTGCTTTACCAACTAAATACTTTAAATTATCTGAAATGCAAATGCAGTCCTATATACAAAAATGCAAGAAATATCAATTCAAATTATTAAAGATTAAAACTCTATAAAATTGAACGTTTTCTAATTCAGCAGTTATTCATTTTGAACATCAACTTTAATTAAACACACTAAATACATACTTTGATTGGAGGTATATTGATATCTCCACCGTGATGCGTTCTTACAGATATATATTGGTCTTTGATACCACTTTCGGGGTCACTGAACTTCCACGAAAAGTGAATCAGGTCATGCAGAAGCTGAAATAAAAGTGAAACAGATCCTTACAAGTCATAAAAACATAAACAACAGCAGCAAACACACATTGTAGTTTGGAAATATTGCTTGATAGGAGTCTGCTATTGTCAACAAATGTTTTGCGATGGTTTACTCAAGACAATGCAAAATAGGATTTGTGAATTGATGTTATTTTTACCCGGGTATTCCTGACAGCCACACCCTGCGTCTCATCAATAGCAGGTGCGTCCACCACGTCAGGGGGGCTAGAGTCCACGCGGAACCCATTAGATGTAGCCTCACTCCACATACCAAGTCTGTTATAGGCGCGCACAGTGATGAAGATATCAGTGTCTATTGACAGCTGGCCTGACACTGGCAGGAATATCACAGCATACTCTGACAGTTCAATGCGTGAAGAGGGGAGAATGTCCTCAGCTCCTGGTGTAGTGCCAGCGCGCCATTCGTAGTGGGAGAGGCCGGAGTGAGGGTCATGGAAGCCCCACCAGTGAGCTCGCAGATGAAGCCTTCACAGATGAATATGTTGTCAAACAAATTGAATACAAATTATTTCATCATATACCAGTGCAGTTTTACAAAAATACCTTCAATTAAAATTCAAGAAACTTTGTACAGCAAGGTTGGGATATACTGCTAAAAAGGCATTAGGATGTAACTCACAAAAGAATTACTCTGGTCTTAAAATCCATTCCCAATCGCATAAAATCGTTAAATAACAATAAAACGTTTTAAAACATCACACAACCTTGTCTGCGTCAGAAATATAATACAGCACGGTACAAGTAAAATCTAAGTACAACAAACCTGAGACTGGCTGTAATAAATTTGCACAGTACATCGATATAGAATGTATTTGACCATTAGTATCTTTATTAATTAATGTGATTTCCCTCACCTTGATGACTGGCAGCTGATGTCACCACCCCCTGGTCCACCATCATACACCCGCCCTGCCACTGGAGGCGAGTCATCTACAATGACTCCATCGGAAGTGACTGAAGTACAAAGGTCAGCAGCATTACAGGCCGTCACCGTTACATAGTAGGTTAGACCAGGCACAAGGTTAAGATTTTCAGCAACCACATCTGAGAGTGAATTGGATAACACCTTTAGAAGGCTTCGGAAGAATTTTACATGCAGTTAGTCAAAATCTACTAGACATTGATCCTTAACAATATGGGAAAATGTAATATTTCAAGTGTTACTGCTTTCATGGTTATACTTCGTTATGATGAAGAATATGTAAAAGAGACGACAAATATGATTTCCGGAAGTAAAACATCCTATAAACGTTGATGATTACAGCATTACCATTATCAAGGCCCACATGCTGTTCAGGCACAACATCGTCACACTCTGGACAAATCCCAGCTCTCCAGGAATATCCAACGATGGCACTGTGTGGGTCGTGAAACCCTTTCCAGAATGCCCTGATTACAGAGCGATCCTCCTGGAAGTCTTGGTCTCTGTGATTGGCCGGTACATAGGCCGAATCCCCGTCATAGACGTGGCCAGACACTGGAGGACTTGTGTCGACCGTAAAGGCACCATACGTCTCCAGCGTGATCAGACTTACAGTATTGATGGCCTGAAAAGAAGTAGGAATTAAACAGATCTTGAATATCTTGTTTGTTAACGCGTGTGCTCTTCCGTCATAATGATGTTTCAGACAGAAAATTTACAAGCTTACCTTTACAGAAATGAAATACGAGTGGCCTTCTTGGAGAGGCAGTTTTCGTGCAGGGTCACTGAACCCAGTCTCTGTACTCTCTCTAGTAAAACGCATGATGTCTGCATGACCTGGATGAGACCCAATGGCCCATTCGTAATATGCTATGCCACTCTCTTTGTCGGAGAACACATTCTTCCAACTGAAAGGGAAAAAGCCGGTGAAGAATGAGAAATATATATAATATTTTGCCATTTTGTTGCAATTTAATTGCTGCACTGTATTTGCCACCCTGGATAACTTTTTTAGATGTAGAGTGTAGCCCGTACCTAGTTATGCCTGAATTTGTTGAGCAGTATTCACTGTTACTTTGGAGAAGTGAATAATTGAGCCTAATATCTGCCAGTTTCGAAGACAACAGTATATGCCTAATAATATCAGCGGTCGCTGGGGATGTCAGACCAGCAAAGTCAGTCACTGAGCCTCTTTCCGACATTACCTGACAAAGATAGAAGTTGTAGACCGGATGAAACTGCCACCAATGTCCAAAGTGTGACCGTCATTAATGACAGGAGATGACGTATCAATGGTTAAGGAGTCGGATGTCACTTGGGATGACAGACCAACAAAGTCAGTCGCTGGTAGTAAAAATTATGGAGAAAATCATGAAAACAGTTCGGTAAGTTTAACAGAACTTTTAAAAAGCCATAAAATATGTTGAAATGTCTTTAACATCTGATTAGTTCTTGTTGATCAACAATTCATGACACAAAACCTATTTTGTCAGATTTGAAACCGTAAATATTTTAAACCTGTCCGTCGAGCATTTTGCAAAACGATTGAGAAACAAGGTGTAACACTTAGACCAAGGAAAGACACAAAATGTATATGGCTTGGCATGACAAATCAATGTTTACGTCTTCAAAAACGATGAAAGAACCTCAAAATATAAAACATCATCCGGAGAAACTGATTAATATATCATAATCACCCCTCACTGTCGCATAGTATGTATGTCCATTTTGCAGTCTTATGCTATGTACGATGACATTGTTTGCAATTCCAACACGAGCGAACTCTTTTACATCACTGCCACCCCGCATCGAACCTAAAGTAAAGAACCAATCATAAAATATGTGATTTTACAAAGTTTAAATGGATTCGGGTGCCGATATTCCATTGGAGCTGTATAAATATAAGAGGGAACATGGTCACCAATTTGTGCGCATACAGCTAATTGCCACTGTACCTAAGCTTTTGCCACTGTGCCACTGGCCTGTAAATTCAGCCCTGCCTGTAGTAAACTATGTGCTCTGTTCAATTTAATACAGAAGTTTGGGTAATACAAGTCATCTGTCCGTGAATGGGTACTCTTTGGACACAAATCCCTGTTTTATAGGGGTAACTACATCATTTTCTTTTCAGAAAGGCTGTTTAAGAAAATGCCAAGAAGGATTCCATTCAGATATGCTGGTATCCGGGTGCTCATAAAAATTCCTACAACCCGTGAGCTGATATGACTGGTCAACATTTGTCAGGTGTGGCAAGAGCTGAAAAGAAAAACCAAAGAGTTTGATTTGAGCAATTTGGTTTATTCATGGCAGACAGAAGTTGTCCCTACCAATGGCGTATTCGTAGTATTTAATTCCCGAGTGATGACGTGCCAAGCCGTGTTCTTCGATGTCGGTGAACGACTCCCACTGCAGCACCAACTCAGAGTTGGAACTCTGTCAGAGCAAATTTTATAAAACAAGGGCGGACTCAGGATATAAGAAAAACCTTCTGAACAAACTCCAAAAGATGGCACATCAATATTAAGTCAAAAGAATTTTTCTGCTAAATCTTTAGTCATGCCAATTGCAACGTTCAATATGAAACGAAATGCAAAGAACAACATTGGTTCACAAAAATATACACACAGCATAAATCAACTTTTTGTGTGTTTATGTGAAAACAGTCAGGAATTAACAAAAATAATAAAAATAATTACTTGATAGATTTGATGCTGATTCCAACCAATCCACACGGAGCCAGGTGTTGGTGGGGTCGTATCTACGACAACACCATCACTACAGCTGGACACAGCAGGCAACAGTTCATTCCAGAGCTCGTGCTCCAATGTAACTTCATCAGCATGGATGCAAATACGATAACGCCTCCCATGCAACAACGATAAGCTGGGCACATTGACAAACTCCTTGTCTACAAGATCATACAAACAGACATAAATTCTCGACAAATTTATTTCACATAATTGAAGTCGAAACTTGACTTGGCAAAGTTTGTATTCAAAGGGTAGGCAAACTCCTTGCTCTACAGATAGCAACCTTTGTCACAAACTTTGTTTGTCTTTCAGTCATTTTCTGAAACAACTTCTACCTGAGCCATATGTACACTTTTTAATTTTCAAGTGTGTGAAGTGAATGCTCAATTTACTTATTCCCCACTGTTAGATTTGACCTTTTGTTCAAATGCCCCTTAAAATCTCCAACAAGAAACTTCATCCTAGCCGATTAACGATTGACGTGGTTTAATGATCATTTATTTATTGGACTTTTGCAAATACAGGTACCTTGTGTTTCACCTCTAATACCTGTAACTAATGATATTTTCAAGATGTATAATTTTTGCGTTGGGGAGATGTTAATTATATATAACGGTTTGCCCGTACCCAACGTATATTAATAAGCACTGTATGCTCAGTGCTTGTCCGAGAGCTTGCAAAAAAAACCTTGCAAGCTTACTCGGGTGGGACTCGAACCCACGAACTCCTGCTTACTAGTGCAGA